TTCCGACTCGATGGCACCTGACAACAACAACAGTGAACTGTAGTGAACTGGTATTGGCCATTTTGAATCTGGCAATCACATGGTTTATGCTGGGAATGACAAATTGAAGAGGAATGGCGTCACATTCATCATCAAAAAGAGTCTGGCACAGAAAGACCTTTTTTTCACTCTGGGATTATAAATGAATTCATACTGATTTTCTTCTAGATATTTTAAGATTTCATTGTTGTTGCTGTTAAGTGCCATGGAGTCAGTTCTGACTCATAGCAACTCAGTAGAGGATTTCCAAGGAGCAACTGGTTGGTTTGAACCACTGACTTTGTGGTTCAAACTGACTTTGTGGTTCTGTGCTTATCCGACAGTGCCCCACCAGAGACTGCATTGCTTACTTACCTTTAAATCTTTGGTCCATCTGAAAGTTAATTTTGCTGTAAAAGTGAGGTTATTTTGCTTAATCCGTCCCTCCCCCTCTGGTTGGAGTCTTGGTATGGCACTGTAGGATAAGCACTGGACTGAAAGGTCAGTTTGAACCACAAGGTTGACAGTTCAAACCCATCAGCTGCTCCTCAGAAACCCTATACGAGGTCACTATGAGTCAGAACCGACTTGATGGCACTTAACAACAACAACAACCTCTATGATTAGTCAGTTGCCTCTTCTCACCCATTTGTTGGGCAATCCTCTTTTCTACTGGTTTCAAATGTCAGCTTTATTATAAATATTTTCATTATAAACATTTCCATTTGCTTATACAATGTTGTTGTTGTTAAGTGCTGTAGAGTCAGTTCTGACTCATAGCAATCTGTATAGGGTTTCCAAGCAGTGGGTGGTGGGTTCAAAGCCACCTTACGGTTCAGTGCTTATTTTACAGCGCCACATCCAAGTAAAATGTCTATTTCTGGACTACTATGTTCCAGTGTAATCTTTATCTATTTCATCTCCAGTGTCATACTGGTTTAGTTACAGTAGCTTTACAGTGTGTATTAATACCTTTTAGGGTTCGTTCTTCTACTCTTCCTTATTTTAGAATTTTCCTAGCTACCCAGCTATCTTGGCATGTTTATTTTTACAAGTATGCTTCATATCATTTTGTGAAATAACAAACATATTCAATTAGTGTTGAAACTGAAGTTGCCTTAAATTTGTAGATTAATTTAGGGAGAAATGACATCTTTGCCACATTGAAGTTTCTTTCCAAAGAGTACCATTTACTTAAATCTTATTTTATGTCTCTCAGTAGAGATTTTTCTCTATGTAAGTCCTATTACGTTTGTGTCTAGGTATTCTGCCTTGTTAGTTGCTATTATACTGAATCTTTATTTTTAACAAGCTCCCCTGATGATTATTATACATATTCAGGTCCAACAATCTAGGGCAGGAATTGGTCTGTTATATATGAAGAAAAAAGCTCTCCAGATGGTTCTAATATGCAAACAGGTTTGAGAAATTCTGATTTTGGGAATTTTTACAGCACTAAGGAACACTCCCAATAAATTCATGACCTCCTTTGACTTTCCCCACACCTGTCCCCATGCAACCTCAAAGTCACTGCCATGCTATTCACATCACCAACCTATCTCAGTGGCACTTTACCTTGGTCTTGGCTTCTACCACAAGGGCTACATCTTCAAGACGGATCCCAAACTCTCCATCCTGATAGTAACCAGGTTCTGGGAAACACAGAGATGCTGGTGGCTTTAAGCAGAGGGAGGGTCCAACCCCAGACTTCCTGCACCAATTGATGAGTGGTTGAAGTGCCCACATGCCTGGTTCCCCCTGGCTGTAGACTCTGGCAGATCCACAATTTGGTACATGTCCACAGGCACACCTTTGACTCATCCTCCCTCCCCTGTAGTTCAATGGGGAAGACCTAAGAATCCAACTAAGGTTCTAGAGAGGCTCCCATCTCCCTGTGTACCATCTTCCTAGTACTCCAGATTGGAGACTTCAGAGTCTGGATGTATAGGCAGGAACAAATTCCCAAAGGCAGAAAGACAGTATGGGCTAAAGGAAGTTGGGGTTCGGATGGGAGGAGACACTTGGGACTGGGAGGAGCAGCGGAAGTAGGGGGTGAGGAGTGGTAGTGCCTGGGCCTGATGTGCTCTCTGAAAGCTGGTACAACCTAGGTTAAGGAGGGGGTTCAGGAGCCCCAGAACCTTACCGATGGAAGTGAACATTCCCTTGGCCATGGCAATGTTGTTGGACTGGAATCCCACTGGCCCTGGGTAGGGAGATTAAGGAAGGGTGTCAGCTCTCCTGTATTCACCAGTTTGGAAGGCAACAGGCCCTGGGAGGAAGAGCAGGTAACTGGGGGAATCCCTGGACATCACCACCAGCAGCATGTTTCTTACTAACTAGATTGGCTCTGGCTCTTATTTCTCTGGGGTCTCTGTCAATCAGCTAAAAGGCTGTGGCTCACAGGCCTCTCTCTGGTACCGTCTTGGATACTAAGAAGGCACCAGGAATGGCTGGCTCCCTGTATTCCTCACTTACCCTGTGGAGCATTACCAACACACCCAAGGGGAGTCACTGTGCCTCTGTGAGTCTTGGTGATGTCCATACATGTGAAATACTCTACTCCTTCACAGAAGGGTATGACCTGGGGAGCAAGGGGGAGGCCATAGGGTGATGAGTAGACACCTACACTCGTGCACACATAGGAAGTTGCCAATGCCATGGCCTGTTCCATGGCCATAATTGAGCCCAACGTCCCACAAGGCTCTGCGGGCAAAGACCTCCATCACTCGCCCTGGAAGAGAGACAGCATTTAGTCAGTCTGCTGGACAGAACCTCCACTGTCCACCTTGCTCCCAGAGTTGTGCTCTCTGGCCTTAAGGGTGGTACCTGGGAAGGGGGGCCTATGGGAGTTGGGTAAACATGCAATGCCATGTAGGAGGAGAGGGGCTGATAGGTGATAGGGGCGATACCAATGAAACCAGTGTCTCCACGACCCAATCAGACCAGCGCCCTCACTATTCCTGGTACATTGTACCTTATACCTATTACCACAACTACTGACTCAATTACATTTTCTCCTCATTTCGTCAAAACTCAGCACTTTAGCCCTATTTCCTCCAGGTATTCTCCCATTTGTGTCAGCCCACACCAACCCCCTCCCCCACCTTTGAGCGACCTCATTAGATTTGGAGGCAGGAGATGTGAGTTCCAGCCCTGGCTCTCCCCCATCCCTCTGTGTGATATGGAGCAAGTAACTTTCTCTCTCTGAGCTGGATTGTTTCATCTACATAATGGGTGAGATGATGATGGTATAAGCTTCTGCCCAGCTTGCCTCCCAGGGTGGTGGTCCAGTTCCAGTGAAACCAAGGCCTGAGGCTCTGGGTCCAATCTGCTCTCCAAAACCCACCTGAAGTAGCAGCAGGAAAGACAAGTCTGGATAGATCAATGTTTCCCATCAGCACTCGGGTATATGCTTCCTAATGGGGAAAGAAAGAGGTAACGTGGAGGACAAGAGGAGGAGCCACAGGATGTGTGTGTGGGACCAGACATGTGCATTAGGGATGAGGGGTGGGAAGGAGTGCATGCCCACATGTGGCCACTCAGGTTCTGGAAAATGGCCAAAGGCAGCTGAGGGGGACCCTCCAAAAGCTGGGGCTTGGTTCTTGTGATAAGTCGATACCAACTCATAGCTACCCTGTATATGGTTTCTGAGGCTATAAATCTTTCTAGGAGCAGAAAGCCTCATTTTTCTCCTGTAGAGCAGTTGGTGACTTTGAACTGTTGACCCTATGGTCAGCAGCCCAGTGTTTATCCTACAGCGCCACCAGGGGTCCTGGATGATCCACAGGAGTTATTATAATACAGCGAGGACAGACATGTAGATAAGGATAGCAGGAGCTTGGAATCCTGACTTGGCCACTTACCAACTCTGACACTTAGGACACGTGATGTTAACCTCTGCAGGCCTCAATGTCCTCATTTAAAAATGAATGGTAACAAGACCTAGCTCACACAGTTATTGGTAGGATTCAATAGAGTAATTAATGCATGTGAAGTGCTTCAAACAGTAGAAAAGCTATGACCTTCCTTCATTTTTCTAAAGGCCTTTCCTTTGGTTCTAGGCTTGGTAATTGGGCTGTTGACTGTGAAAAGGGGGAGCGAGGGAGGCTAAAAGGGACTACCTTCTCCTGATCACTCCTTGTGAAGGGGATGGAGCTCACTCGGAGTTTGTCATCTCAACAGGACAGCCTAGAGCATTGGGTTTCTTGAGGCCTGGGCAGCTTTGTTTTATCTTTGTTTCTAGAACAAAGACTGACCCACACTCAATCTCTGCTTGCTGGATGCATAAATGCAGCTCCTACTTCTCTCCTTCCCTGCCCCCCCACCCCACCCCCAAAACAAGCAAACAAACAAACAACAAAACCCACTGTGGTTGAGTGGATTCCACTCCTGGCGACCCACTTGTGTTACAGAGAACAGCTCCATAGGGTTTTTTTTTTTTTTTTTTTGGTTGTAATCTTTACAGACTCCTGGTGTTGTGCTGCAGGATCAGTACTGGACTGCGAACCACAAGGTTGGCTGTTCAAACCCACCAGCTGCTCTTTGGAAACCCTATACAGAGTTGCTATGAGTTGGAACCAACTTGACGGCACTTAACAGCAATCTTTAGCAGAAGCAGATCATCAGGTCTGTCTTCTGCGGACACCACTGGGTGGATTCAAACTGCCAAGCTTTCAGTTCATTGTTGTTGTTGTTGAATGATGTCGAGTTGGTTCCAACTCTAGCAATAGCAACCCTGTAGAGGGTTTTCAAAGAGTGGCTGGTGAGTTTCAGCTGTCAACCTTGTGGTTCAAACCAACCCTGGGGTCAAGTGCTTTATCCCACAGTGCCATATCAGGACTCCTTTCCATTAATGTCATTATTGTTAAGTGCCATTAAGTCAGTTTCAACTCATAGCAACCCTGTATAGGGTTTCCAAGGAGCCGCTGGTGAGTTTGAACCGCTGACCTTGAGATTCAAACCAACTTTGCAGTCCAGCGCATTAGCCCACAGTGCCACAGCAGGACTCCTTTCTGTTAATAGTCAAGCACAAACCATCTTCACCACCCAGGGACCTGCCCCACCCATCCCCAGAGGCTCCCTGGTATGTCCAGCTAATGTTCAGCCAGGCTGACCAGTCCTTTCTCTGTCTAGTCCCTATGAGCCTTTGCTCCTGCATTTTCTCCACTTGAAATGTATTTTTCTGCCTTTCTTCTGAATTGTCCTCTCTTTTTGCCTCCTCAGCACCTAGCAGAGGACTAGGCATATGGCCAGCACTAAAGATGCTATGTTGTGGTTAGCTGTTGTCCAGTTGGTTCCAACTCATAGTAACCCTCCTTATTATGCACACCAGAACGAAACACTGCCCAATCCTGCACCATCATTCTTACACTTGAGTCCACTGCTGCTGGCTCTGTGCAAATCCATCTCATCGTGGGTCTTACTCTTGGACCCTCCACTTTACCAAGCATGATGTCCTTCCTCAAGGGGAAACATGAGAGACAAAACTCAACATCCTGGCTTCTAAGGAGCATTCTGGCTATACTTTTCCCAACACAGATTTTTTGTTTGTTCTTTTTGCAGTCTGTGGTACTTTCAATATTCTCCAACAGCACAACTCAAACACATTAATTCTTCTATACGATCTTTCTGATTCACTGTCCAATTTTCACATGCATACGAGGCTATTGAAAATACCATGGCTTGGGTCTGGCGCACCTTAGTCCTCAAACTGGTAACTTTGCTCTTGAACACTTGAGAAAGGTCTTGTGCGGCAGATTTGCCTAATGCAACAAATCACTTGATTTCTAGACTGCTGCTCCCATCAGTGTTGATTGTTGATCAGAGCAAAATGAAGTTTTTGACAACTTCAATCTTTTCTCCACTTATCATGATGTTATTCATTGGTCTAGTTGTGAGGATTTTTGCTTTCTTTACATTGAGGTGCAATCCATATTGAAGGCTGTGTTGTCTTTATCAGTAAGTATTTTAAGTCTTCTTTGCTTCCAGCAAGCAAGACTATATTCTGTTAATGAATCTTTCTCTAATCCTGATGCCACGTTCTTCTTCATATAATCTAGCTTCTTGGATGATTTGCTCAGCATACAGATTGAATAAGTATGGGGAAAGATACAACCCTGGAACACACCTTTCCTGATTTTAAACCATTCAGTGTCTCCTTCTTCCGTTAGAACAACGGACTCTTGATCTATGTACAGTTTCCTCATGAGCACAAATAAGTTTTCTGGAATACCTGTTCTTTGCAATGTCATTCATAGTTTGTTATGATCCACAGAATTGAATGCCTTTGCATAGTCAATAAAGCACAAATAAACATCGTTCTGGTATTCTTTGCTTTTAGCCAAGATCCATCTGACATCAGCAATGATATCTCTAGTTCCATGTCCTCTTCTGAATCTGGCTTGAATTTCTGGCAGCTCTTTGTCAATGTACTGTTGCAACCATTTTTTAATTATCTTCAGCAAAATTTTACTTGCATGTGATATTAATGATACTGTTTGATGATTTCTGCATTCCATTAGGTCTTCTCTCTTTGGAATGGGCATACATGTGGATCTCTTCCAATCGTTTGGCATAGATGAGTGAGTGCCTCCAGTGCTGCATCAGTGTGTTGCAAGAGTTCAATTTGTATTCCATCAATTCCTGGAACCTTGCTTTTCGCCAATGCTTTCAGTACAATTTGGACTTCTTCCTTCAGTACCATTGGTTCTTGATCACCTGCTACCTCTTGAAATGGTTGAACATCAACAGTTTCATGTTGGTGTAGTGACTCTATATTCCTTCCATCTTCATTTGATGCTTCCTGAGTTCTTCAACATTTTGTCCATGTGGTTGTTTGCCACCAAGACTGCTCTGACTCATAGTGACCCTGTATAAGGTTTCCTTGGCTGTAAATCTTTATGGAAGCAGACAGCCTCATCTTTCTCCCATGGAGCAACCGGTAGATTTGAACTGCTGGCCTTTTGGTTACCAGCCCAGCTTGTAATCCACTATGCTACCAGGGCTCCTGTTTTGCCTATAGAATCCTTCAATATTCCAAATCTAGACTTGAATTAGTTTCTTCAGTTCTTTCAGCTGAGAACTGCTGAACGTGTTCTTTCCTTTTGGTTTTCTAACTCCAGGTCTTTGCACATTTCATTATAATGTTTTTACCTTGTCTTCTAAAGTTGCCCTTTGAAATTTTCTGTTCGACTCCTTTACTTTCCTCATTTTTTCCATTCTGTCTAGGATCTCTATGATGGAGAGCAAGTTTCAGAGTCTCTTCTGACATCCATTTTAGTCTTTTTTCTTTCTTTTTTTCCTGTCCTTTTAATGGTCTGTTCATGGATTTATTGAACTGGGATGAAGGAAAGCGCCAGGAGTGCTGGGTTGTCTGGCACTAGGACACTGGACAGGCGCCTCTGGATGGCACAAATTGTTAAGCACTAGGCTAGTATCGGAAAGGTTGGCAGTTCAAACCCACCCAGAGGTGCCTTAGAAGTCAGGCCTGGCAATTTGTTTCCAAAAGGAGTAATTCTACTCTGCACACCTGGGGTCTCCACGAGTCGGAACTGAGTTAACGTCAAATAGCAAATGGAGTACCCCCATGGACCTCTAAAATGAAAGGGCTTTGGGCTGAGTGATGGTGAGAGTGGGCAGGAAAGGTGGAGGGAGGGAGGTCCAATGCCTACCTTTTGGAAAGCAGAGGGGGTGCCCCAGTGGACCGTTCTGGTGATATCCGTGGTTCCGTCCCTGTGGAGAAGGAAGGCTGCTCTGTCCAGCTCTGAGGAACACCCAAGGGTAGCGATCCCGGCCACTGAACTTCAGTGACAAGGGCCGGGTGGGCATGGGGTGAGAGGCAAAAGAAATCTCACCGGGCATCAAGTTAAAATCCACCGAGCTGTCTGACGGTCCGATCCCCACCATGCATACCTCACCCCACGTCCCTCTTTTAGCCGTCTTGTAAACCCAGGTATCCTTGGGTCAAACTGGTTCCAACAGCAAGGCTTCTCATAGGCTCCCTGGGAAGTAGGAGGGACTGTCCCCTTTTTGTAGAGCAGAAAACTAAGGCCCAGAGATACTGATGATCCTAACACTCCCACTCACTCACACTGTTAATTATGTTTCTAGAACACTTTTGCAGCCCTCCTGGAAAGGGTAGTAGAGCAGACCTCCTGACTCCCATTTCACAGACAAGGCAATTGAGGTCACGAGACAGGTGCCCTTTCCAAGTTTTAGTGAAGCCAGGCCTGACTCTCCACACATGGTCAGCATGGATCTGACTCAGCGACTTAATTTCTTCAAGTCACAGTGAGTGGATGCCAAAAGGTGTGCCCCCTCCCCCTGCCCCAGCCACTTTGGCTGTAGCGCTTCCCCCAGGAGACTCTTGCAGTCACCTGGGAAAGAAGGAGGGGAGAAATGGCCCCAGGACCCGTGGCTCCTCCCAGAGAGCAAGTCACAGGGTGTGGTGGCCTTTTTCTTCAGAAGGAGAGAAGAGGAAGTGAGGTGACCATTTCCCCAGCCTCACCCTGCTCTGAGCACGCCCCAGATCTCGCAACGCCCCCACAAACTCAGTTCCCCTTTGTGCATTGGCCTTCTCCATCGCACTGCGCTGAAGGGGTGCCTACTGAAGGCTGCTAAACAGCGCTGCCATATTGGCTTCTGTCTACAACAAGCAAAGAATCTTTGTCATTTTGTGCAGTCACCATTTCCACAGGGTTTACGGTCACCGTGGAGTTGTCTCCAACTCAAGGCAACCTTCTGCGTGTCAGAGTAGAATTGTACTCCACTGACTTTTCAATGGCGGACCACCACTCTGGGTGGGCTTGAATATCCAATCTTCTCGTTCGCATTTGCACCACTTAGGGACTTCTTCCTCAGGGTAGAGGCTAGGAACTGTTCCAAAGTACTGCTTGCTCCTTCACTGGTTCAGCCACCCTCTTCCTTTCTCTCACCCCAAACTTCTCGTGCTCCACTTGGTTCTTAGACAACAAGGAATAATCTTTCAGACTAGTTCAGCTCCTGTCTGAATAATTGTTTACACATTTGTAAGGAATGAGGTTAGCTTGTTCTACAAGGTGAACATGTACAAGTATTCAGGTTGTGCACTTACCATGGGCACCACATCCAAAGGGATGCTGTCCATTTCATGGTTATATGAGAGGTCTTCAAAAAGTTCATGGAAAATGCATATTTTGAAAAAAGTAGGCTAGATTTCAAAATATTTTTGTACCAAAATAAACTCATCCTAACTTTTTAGACTATGTCTGAACAGGATCTAGTTTGAGGCACTGAAAAGGATAAGCCATCACTTTGGCTAGAGCCCTTATCAGAGCAACATGAATTTTGTTAAAATTGAAGCAAGAACAAACATCAAATTAATGGTGAAGCTTGAGTGGAAAGATAATGAAATCACTGTTGCTTTAGGAAGAGTTTATGGTGACAATACCCCCAAAGAAATCAGCAGTTTGTAAATGGATACCTCATTTCAAGAATGGAGGATACGATGTTGAAGATGAAGCCTGTAGCATCAGACCATCCACATCAATTTTCAAGGAAAGAATTAATCTTGCTCCTGTCCTCACTGAAGAGGACTGATGATTAACAACAGGAACAATGGTAGCCAATACCACAGAGATCACAATTGATTCAGCTTACACAATTTTAACTGAAAAATTAAAGTTGAGCAAACTTTCTGCTCAATGGGAGACAAAACTGTTCTACCCAGATCAGCTGTAAACCAGAACAGAGCTTTTGATGGACATTTAAATAAGTGAGATCAAGATCCTGAAGCATTTGTAGGAAAAGTTGTTAACAGGAGATGAAATATGGCGTTACCAGGATGATCCTGAGGGTAAAGCACAATTTAAAAAATGGTTACCGAGAGGTGAAGTTGTCAAGTCAAAGGAAAAGAAGACTGGTCAAGGGCAGAGGTCATGGCAACAGTTTTGGGAGAGGCATTTTGTTTATTGACTTTCCGGAAAACCAAAGGATGGTAACATCTGCTTATTATGAGAGTGTTTTAGACAAAACATTTGCAGAAAAACACCCAGAAAAGCTTCACCAAAGAGTCGTTCTCCACTATAAGAAAGCTTCTCTAATTCTTCTCATGAAACAACACATAAAACTTAAAGACCACCCATTTTTCTTTAGTTAATAATGAAACAAGACTGCATTGACATGGTTAAATCCCCAGGACCCTCGGCTCTTTCGGAACAAACTAAATGGCTGGTACCATTTCTTACAAAAGTGTCTTAAACCTGATGGATCCGAGGTTCAGAAATAAAGTTTATGGATCTTGATTTTTATCTGTTAATTCTAGTTCCCATGAACTTTTTGAAGACCTCTTGTATACTAATATCCATGAGAGCACAGCTAGGTTGTAGAGTCCTGGTACAAGGCTCGCATGCCCTCAGAGAGGAGGTGCGTAGACACACAGCCATGCTAACAGGCATCCCCGGGGGTTGCTTTTCTTCCCGGCCTGCTGCTCTGAGAGGCCTGGTCCTGTTCCCCCAACCTGATCTGATCATGTCACCTGCAGGCTGGAGGGAGGGGGCTGGGCAGAGTGTATGGTGCTGGTGGTGCAAGGGCTGTGTGCAGTGCATGCATGAGTGGGTGAGAATGCGGGTGCTTGTGTCTGCGCAGTCAGTCAGGCCCCTGAACGTGGTTGTTCAAGCTGTGTGACAATATGCAAACCCATTTTTCTTGAGGAAGGAGAGGCTTCTAAATTGTCATGAAGGTAAGGCCTGGGCAGCCCCTGCTATTCTGGTCTCTGTGTGTTTCCCACTAGAAGAAAACCCCACTGCTGTGGAGTCGATTAAAACTCATATCAACTCTGTGAGGGTTTCTGAGGCTGTATATCTTTATGGAAGCAGAACGCCTCCTCTGTCTCCCTTGGAGCAGCTGGGGGATTAGAACTTCTGATCTGGTTAGCAGTCCAGTGCTCATCCTACATCATGCACTGGGACAGGGACTCAGATCAGTTGCTGTTGATTCCAATTCAGGGGGACCCCATGGATGTCAGAGTAGAAGTCTGTTCCATAAGGTTTTCAATGGTTGATTTTTCAAAAGTAGATTCTCAGGTCTTTCTGTTGAGGCATCGATCAGCATCTGGGCACTTAACCATTTGCATTACCCAGGGCTTCCTATGCAGGAACCCACCAGTGTGGGTTTGAGAAGGCTGCTCAGAGCTCGTTCAATGCAGGCCTCACCTTTCTCAGATGAGTCACCTGTGGCTCAGGAAGGGAGAGCCTGAACCAACTCTTGGCCTTTCTTGGTCAGCTAGGCAGGCTTGGTGCCCAGGATGCCTGAGCTAAGACAACCAAGTGGGGCAGGATTGAGGAGCACATACCAGTATTGTCCCCCAGAATCCAGCAGGTACATCTCATCCAAGGACAGCGTGCGGTGAATCTCCTTGGTGGGGCTGGTGAAGAGAGCGAGAAGGCTAAGACAGGAAAGGAGCAGTCTGACCCTGACTTGGGGGGAGGAGCCTGAGTGAGAGTAGAGGAGCCCCCCACTGCTGGGGTTCGGTTCCAGGCCAACTCCTTTGAGGAAGTCAGTATCTCCCAGAGGGCTTTAGGGAGGGCACTCCACTTTTGCTACAAATGTTCTCAGCACATGCCATTATCCTGCTAGTGGGCTCCCCGCAATTCACAGAGCAAGACCCTGGTTCCCATAGAGGGGAGAAAGGAATGGCAGACCCAGGAGAACCCTTCGAGACCCGCCCCCCACCAGGCCAGTCATCTCCTTTTACATAAGGAGGGACATTCGAAAGACACTCTGGTAGAACAGTGCTGGAGCAGGGCCTGAATACAGGTCCTAGAGGCTCAGGCCAATGCTCTTTCTAGAACTTTCTGCTGGTTTCCTCCAAGAGCAGAAGGGTCCTGTGAAGCCAGGCCACAGGAAGGGAGGGTCCTTGGAGGGTGGGGCTGAAGAGCAAAGAGTTGGTATGGCAGAGGAGTACCTGCCCTGTCACTTTCTATTGGGAGACAGGGCCTGGGCTTGGGAGAGAATTCTCGGTCCGGCCAGACTATTCCTTGAAGGAACATCTGACTTCTTCCTGCTATGCCAGTGGCAGGCTGAGGCATCTGATTGGTCCCCAAAATCTCATCAGGCCTGAAGATACTGGTTTTCTATGAAACCAAACATCTGGCCAGCCCTCATTTTGGGCCCATTGTGGTTGGTTCGGGAGTCCTGGTGTGGTGCTGTAGGACAAGTATCGGACTGCTAACCACAAGGTTGGCAGTTCAAATCCACCAGTTGATCCTTGGAAACCATAAATAGGATTGCTATGAATTGAAAAGGACTCAAGGGCACTTAACAATAAAAACAATGGTTGATTCTGGCTGAGAGAACAAACAGGTCTGTGTGAATGTGCTCATGAGCTTTAAGAATTAGCTTATATAAATAACCAACAGGACACCTCTCCTCCACAGCCCTCAGCTCTGAGTGCTCAGAGTCTCAGGCTCTTGGGGGAAAAGATCTCTCAGACGTTTTCATTCCAGAGAGAATTTCAATCCTAGAATGAGCTCCACCCCACCCCAACCTCCACAGTGCTAAAGATGGTCCCAGAGCATTCCACTCCTGACCCTCCTCCCATCAGGAGTCCCTCTACCAGCTCCTAGAAAATTCTTTCTCCTGAGGTACCTGTAGTGGGCCAAGGCAGCATTCAGGCCACTAGCAGAGATGGTTTCAAAACTGGTTCCTGAGGAGAACTCTTCTTCTCTGGAAGGCACGAGGCGGAAATAAGGAATAGTCGATGAGTGGACTCAGGGGTACATGAAGCTCACACCTGGGGTTGACTCCATCTCGCTGCCCCGGTCCCATTTCCTGGTTCCATCTCCTAAGCCCCATATTGTCAGTATACAGCACTCAAGGTCAGAGAAGACACTAATTATTCCCCCTTCCCCTCCATTTCCTAGATGGGAAAACCAAAGCCCACACATCTCACAGTGAGTAAGTAGTTTAGCAAGAGTGTATCTGAAAAGCACCTGGAACCCTGGAGCAGCATCCTGTGCCTCACACTTTCAAACCTTCAGTCTTCCCACTGCCTGGGCCAAGTGTTCCCTCTCCCCTGTTTGATATTCTCAAATGGGTCAGGGGCAGATTTCATTCAGGCAACCCTAAGCCAGCCTTCCCAAGGGAGAGCAATCTCATGCCTGAAGTTGGCACTAGGGGGCACTGTGGGGTTGTGGCCCTTCCAGTTGTCCCATTTTAAGTGGGAACCGGGGAATGTCATTCAGCATTCCCTGCCCAACTCTCCCACCATCCAAGAACTACTCATTCCTTATTCCAGAGAGACCCCAGAATACAAACAGGATCTTCTTTCCTCTTAAATAGGAAAAACAATTTCTCCCCCAACCCTACAACCAAACAAAACACAAAATTCAGTTGCTGTTGAACTGATTCTGACATCTGGCAACCCCATGAATGTCAGAATAGAACTGCGCTCCATAGTGTTTTCAATGGTTGATCTTTGGAAGTAGACTCCTAAGGCGTTTCTTCTAAGGAGGCTGTGGTAGACTGGAACCCAGGTCAGTATACATAATCAGTATACATAATGTATACTTTTAAGTTAGCAGCTGAACCAGTTAACTGTTTGCACCACCCAAAAACTTGCCTCCCTGCCCCCACTCCCACACTAAAAGGATGATGGTGGTTCTTCACCTTCGAAATGCGTCCACGAGCTCTGCTCCTGAGAACTCATTCACTGTGCCTTTGGGCACGTTCTTCTCCAGCCATACCAAGTACCGGATCACAGCTATGGCATCCCGAACCTGGAGCAGGGGAAACAGAGAAGCAAATTGAGGTGTGTGGGCTCAGCCATAGGCTCAAGATCTGGGACCTGGAGCTAGACTGTCTATTTATTTGATGACATTAAGGGATTATTCTTAATGTTTATATTTATGGTGATAATGGTGTAGATGTGTTTTTAGAAGAATATTAAAGAAGAGACTATATGACTTCTGTGATTTGCTTTGGAAGAATCCAGTGGCAGAGGGTAGGGGGTGGATGAGGGGATGAATGTGGGATGAAAGATGAAACAAGGTTGGCCATGAATTGAGAGCTGCTGAATCTGGGTGAATGGGTCCTTGGGCCTTCATTATGCTATTTTGTCTAATTTCTTATGTATTTAAATTTTTCCCATCAATTTTTTAACATGAGATGGTTCATCTTTCTTCCTTTTTGTTTTGTTTTTTCAAAAAAAACAACGTTTTATTGTGAATTGAATAAAGATTTACAGAGCAGATCATCAGTTTTGCATTCAACAAATCCTATACTTGCTTCATTACATGGTTGCAGTCCCCTCCATGTACCAACAGTTAACAGTATTTACCTCTACTCACTTTAACTATTGCATTCTTCCCTATGTCTCCTGCTACCTTCATCTGTCCTCGGCTAATTTTCCTCTTGGTGTGTATTGTCTGTCTTGTCACCTATGTTAACATGTGTCTACTCTCACCCATGAATAATTTTCCTTCCACCTCTACCCCATAATCATCATAGATTGTTTCTTTTATCATGAAGATCTTTTTTTTTTTTTTTTTTAACTTTTTCCAACGTTGGTCTCATACAATGTTTGTCCTTTTGTGATTGACTATTTTCACTCAGCATAATGTCCTCCAAGTTCAACAATGTTGTGAGGTGTTCCACAGATTCATCATTTTTTCTTCAACGTTTTGTAGTATTCCATTGTGTGTATGTTTAGCCATTCTTCTGTTGATGGGCATTATGCTGCCGCCATCTTTTTAATATGTCTCTTGTAGACAACATATTGAAAGATTCTGTTTTCTTATCCATTGTGTTCTCTCTGTCTCTTGACTGGAACATTTAATCCACTTACATTCTGGGTAATTTTTCTCTGTGGTGCTGCTGGATTCTTTGCTCCACAGAATTTTTTATGCTGAGTTCATTTTGTTTGTGGATTTTCTTGTCATTTTCGTTTCTGTTATGTTAATGCTTACTAAATCTTTATTATTTTCCTCTTTTTTATTTTGATATGCAGGTGTATTATTTTTCTTAGTGGTTGCACTGTAATTCATTAATTTTTTCCTTGATTGCAACCGTCTGTTTTATCTTGAAATCTTCCTTGACATTTGGAAGTTCTGTATCTGTATTTGTTGTTGTTGTTAGGTGCCATCGAGTCGGCACCGACTCATAGCGAGCTTATGCAGAGCAGAACGAAACACTACCCGATCCTGGGCCAACCTCACAATTGTTGCCACACTTGAGTCCATCGATGCTGTCACTTTGCCAATCCACCTCATTGGGGGTCTTCCTCCTTTTCTCTGACCCTCCACCTTACCAAACATGATATCCTTCTCCAGCGACTGGTCCCTCCTGACAATACCTCCGAAGTATGAGAGTCGAAGTTTGGCCATCTTGGCCTCCAAGGACTGCTCTAGCTGCACTTCTTTCAAAATGGACCTATTGGTTCTTTTGGCAGCCCATGGCACTTTCAATATTCTCCTCCAACACCATAACAAAAAGCATCAATTCTTCTCTGATTTTCCTTATACACTGTCCAGCTTTCGCATGCATATGAGGTTATTGAAAATACCATGGCTTGGTTCAGGCGCACCTTAGTCCTCAAGCTGACATCTTTGCTTTTCAACACTTTAAAAAGGTCTTGTGTAGCAGATTTGCCTAATGCAATACATCGTTTGATCTCTTGACTGCTGCTTCCGTGAGTGTTGATAGTTGATCCAAGAAGAATGAAGTCTTTGACAACTTCAATCTTTTCTCCCTTGATAAGAATGTTATTGGTCCAGTGGTGAGGATTTTTGTTTTCTTGACATAACAAAGGCTGTGCTCTTTGATCTTCATCAATAAATGTTTTAAGTCCTCTTCACTTTCAGCAAGCAAGGGTGTATCATCTGCATACTGCAGGTTGTTACTGAGTCTTTCTCCAATCCTGATGCCACGTTTTTGCTTCATAGAACCCAGCTTCTCGGATTATTTGCTCAGCATACAGGTTGAATAAGTATGGTGAAAGAATCCAACCTTGTCGCACACCTTTCTTAATTTTAAAACATTCAGTGTTTCCATGTTCTGTTCGAACAACTGCCTCTTGGGAAATGTACAGATTCCTCATGAGCACAATTAAGTGTTCCGGAATACCCATACTTCGCAATGTTGTCCATAGCTTGTCATGATCCACACAATCGAAAGCCTATGTGTAGTCAATAAAGCACAGGTAAACATCCTTCTGATACTCTCTGCTTTCAGCCAAGATCCATCGGACATCAGCAATGATATCCGTCATTCCACGGCCTCTTCTGAAACTGGCTTGAACCTCTGGAAGTTCTCTGTCAATGTATGTTTGCTACCATTTCTGTATTGCCTTTAGTAAAACTTTACTCGCTTGAGATATCAAAAAGATTGTCCGATGGTTTCCTCATTCCCTTGGGTCACCTCTCTTTAGAATGGGCACAAATATGGATCTCTTCCAATCAATCGGCCAGTTAGTTGTCTTCCAAATTTCTTGGCAGAGATGAGTGAGAGCCTCCTGTGCTGCCGCACTTTCTTGAAAGATTTCAATTTGCATTCCATCAATTCCTGGTGTCTTGTTCCTTGCCAATTCCTTCAATGCACCTTGGACTTCCACCTTCAATATCGTTGGCTCTTGATCACATGCTACCTCTTGAAACAGTTGAACATTAACCATTTCCTTTTGGTACAGTGACTGTGTATTCCTTCCATCTTCTTTTGATGCTTTCTCCATCATTCAGTAATTTGCCCAGAGAATCTTTCAATAACGAAAGTCGAGGCTTGAATTTTTT